TCAACCACAGTATGCTTCTGGGGAGGCTCTCTTGAATTGGGGATTGGAGACCTGGCCTTAGCCTGGCTCCAGTCCTTTCTAGAGGAACATCCTCAGAGAGTACAGCTTGGGGAGATGCTGTCCGCTCCGTCGACTCTCAATTGTGGAGTCCCACAAAGGTTGACCATCTCCCCAGTGCTATTTAATATCTATATGAAGCCACTGGGGGAGGTCATCAGGAGTTTTGGAGCTTTGTGCCACCAATATGCAGATGACACTCAGCTCTCTCTCTCTCCTTTCATTCTTCTGCAGTGGATGCTGTCCCATCCCTTGAGTGCTGCCTGGATGTTGTGCTGGGGTGGATGAGGGACAATAGACTGAACCTGCACAAGATGGAAATCCTGTGGGTGGATGCCCCTAGTGCTTGTGGTCTGAGAGCTTCCCTCTATTTTTTTTTGGGGGGGGCACTATTTCCATGAAGGTTCACAGCTTGGGCATACTCCTGGACCCAGCACTATCAATGGAATTTCAGATAATGTCTGTGGTCTGCTCCGCCTATTTTCATCTAAGGCAGATTGCCCTAGCTTGACAACGGTTCCCTCACCATGCTGGTCCATGCACTGGTAGTCTCGAGATTAGACTACTGTAACACTCTCTATGTGGGGCTGCCCTTGGTGCTGTCACAAGTCCAGAACTCGGCTGCCAGACTATTGAGCAGGGTAAGGAGACATCAGCATATTTTCCCCACCTTGGCTGCCCTGCACTGGTTACCTGTCTGTTTCCATGCCAACTTCAAGGTGATGGTGTTAACCTATAAGGCCTTAAACGATTTAAGACCTCAATGTCTGGCAGAATGCCTCCTTCTGACTAGATTTGCCCATCTTGTAAGATCTCAGGCTGGGCAGTTGAGAGTTTTGACCCCGAGAGAGGCCCAGAAAATGATGACCAGTAATCTGGCCTTCTTAGCAGTTGTTCCGCAACTTTGGAATAGTCTCCTGTTTGAAATTCACCTGGCCCTTTCTCTGGGAACTTTCAAAAGATTACTAAAAACATGTCTTTTTAGACAGGCTTTCCCGGACTTTAGAACATGTTAATACAGCGGTGCTTTTAAAAACTATGCATTCGACCCTTTGCAATGCCTTTATTATTTTATTATTTTACTTATTTTATTTTCATCATTGTTGCAGTTTTTTAAAAGTTGTTAATCGGTTATTCTTGTATTGTTGTTTTATAATGATGGTATTTATAAACTGCCAGATGGGTGGAATAAAAATCAATCAATCAATCAATCAATCAATCAATCAATCAATCAATCAATCAATCAATCAATCAATCAATCAATCAATCAATCAATCAATCAATCAATCAATCAATCAATCAATCAATCAATCAATCAATCAATCAATCAAATAAATAAATAAATAAATAAATAAACAAACACATAAACACATAAACACATAAACAAACAAACAAACAAACAAACAAACAAATAAATAAATAAATAAATAATAAAAGCCTGCTGCCCTTGTCCTCCTTGTGGCCATGATCTAATTAAGCAAAGTGACTTCCCTCAACTTAGATCCTAACATCTCCCCCTATATTGGACTGCCCATAAGCCCCAGCCAGCATAATGATGTAGGTTGTAATCCGTCAAAGCTGGAAGTCACCAGCTTCAAGAAGGCTTCTCCTATGATGAAGCCTGTGAACATACAGCCATTTTGTTGAGTCTCTCTTGGCAGCTCCTTCCACTGAAACACTACTTTTATGATGCTGCTGTTAAAATTCAAACTGGAAGGTGCCTTGCTTCTTCAGCATGTGGTAAGCAGTGATATGGGGACAGAATTATGAAATACAGGCACTATAAATAAAATTATAAAACAACAGTCTCTATGGCAGTGATGGCTAACCTTTTTCAGCTGGAAACTGGGGAAAAAAACAACAACCAGCAGGTGGCGGGCAGTGGTGGTGGTGGAAGCGGAAGTGGAGGAAGCAGAAGTGGCAGTGGAAGGGGGAATCCCAGGCACTGAGGTGCCTCCAGACCCCACTCCAGATCTGCCTCCAATCATGCCCAACCGCTGCCAGCACCAGCTGCTCCGGATCCTGGCCTGCCACCTGTTGGGGCGCTAGCACTGTGGCTGCAGCTGTCTCCTCAGGTTTGGCTGTCAGGGGTAGTGATCCGGCGACTTAGGGCTCGCGTGCCCGCAGAGAGGGTTCTGTGTGCCAGCTGTGTCGTAGGTTTGCCATAGCTGCTCTATGGTATGGAAAGTCCAAAAAAGGCAGACATTTTGTTGATCCTTATCAATCAACCCGTTTATCTTCACCAGGAGCAATAAAGCTTATGAATCTGAATTGTCTGTTGTAAAGCGAGACCAGGCCATTTCAGATATTATGCACCATAATGGTAATAGCTTACAACAATATATTCTTGTTGGAGAAATGTATCTCCCACTTACCAGCTAGAAATTTATCCCCCTTTACCAAACTCAAAGAGAAGAAAGGAAGCCTGAAAGAGGTGGCAGATTATATCATGGTTCCTGTTAATCCAAATATCGTGGTGCTCCCATCTTGCAAGCTCTGGCACTACTATAGGCCTGATTGTCAGAGTTTCAAAGAAACTTCCAATGTTCCAACGTTACCCTCACTTTTATAGTAATACTAACAACTGCTTGAAAGAGCACCAATGGGGGTTGCCAGCCCACAGTTTAGGAAACAGTCCTATGAGAGGACACAGAATACACTTTTTGATATGAAAGATTAAACTAGCTTTATGGGATGGCATACTAAAGGAAATGGACCCTCTAATTAGAAGGTGTTATATATGCAGTTTGTAGATAAACATATATCCTTACAGTTGCTCAATAGTGAATTATAAAAGAATTATAATTATATAAAAAGAATTATAAAATCATAGATTTTATAATTCTTTTTTGAGCGAAAGGCAGTGTATAGAAATAAACATATATATACATACACATATACATACACACACACACACGTTCTGGATTAATCGTCGCTATGTGAAAACATCGCTAAACGGAATGGAAAAACCCATAGGAACACATTAAACTTTGTTTAATGCATTCCTATGGGGCCCAAACTCATCGTTCAGCAAAGATCCTCCATAGTGCCGCCATTTTCACTGCCTCGGTAAGCGAGGGCAGTGTGCAAAAATGCTTGCGGTGGCCATTTTGGGCACCCAGTGGCCATTTTGGAACCGCCGATCAGCTGTTCTGAAAATATCGCTTACCGATCAGCGCAATGCGATGTTTGCCCATTCAGAACATCGCAATGCGATCACATTAGCGATCCCAAAAAATAGATCGCTATGCGGATTCATTGTTAAACGGTGTGCTCGTTATGCGAGGCACCACTGTATTAGCTGGAGGGAAGGCCTGAATGTATAGCCATGTTTTTAATTGACTTTTAAAAGTGCCCAGAGTGGGGGCTGTGTGAATCTCAGGAGGAAGATTGTTCCAGAGGCGAGGAGCCACTGCCGAGAAGGCCCGGTTTCATGTCATGTCTTCTGGGCCTTTCTCGGCTTCAGGCTTCTCTGCGCTCATTATGCGAGGCACCACTGTATATTATTCTGGGTGGCATTTATTAAAATGTTGAAAGCTTCCTCCCACTCCCCCATGGAAGGGGACACAGAAGAGGAAGTGGAGCTTTGGGGTTTTCTTTAAGCCCTTATGATCCAGTGCTGGATCCAGTGTGACTCAGTTGAGAGGCAAGCCAACTCAGCACTATGTCATTTACAAATAAATAAATAAAGTACAACTTTTCCCCACTCTGACACAGAGGGGGATCTTTTCTGTTATTTTTACCCTTGTCCTTTAAAGGGAAGAATGCACTAAATATGGTCACTTGAGGTGCAGTGTGGTTTCCTGCACTGAAACCACCCTACCCTTATGTGTAGATGCAGGAATCACCCCAGATGGCATATTGCACTTCCAAGCAACCTTGTTTAGCTCAATCCAGACTGCAAAAATTCAGCTTAAGGGCTTAAAGAAAACCCCAAAGCTCCACTTCCTCTTCTGTGTCCCCTTCCATGGGGGAGTGGGAGGAAGCTTTCAACATTTTAATAAATGCCACCCAGAATAATATACAGTGGTGCCTCGCATAATGAGCGCACCGTTTAACGACAAATCCGCATAGCGATCTATTTTTTTTAGATCACTAATGTGATCGCATTGCGATGTTTTAATGGGCAAAACATTGCATTGTTGTGACCTTCTATGTTGTGACCTTCTATGTTGTGAGAGATGTGATTCAGGCAGAGTTTCTTGTTTGAAAGCTCATGCTTAAATTCTGAAAACCAATCTCAAAACAAAGGAAGCAAATCTGCAAATTATGTAAAGTGAGAAATACTCCTGCTGAGCACTCAGATGCTTTCAGCAGCTAAGATATCTGCTTTTTAAATAATTTGCATGTAATATCTGATTCTGTGCTGGAACATGAAATGAGAGATTAATAGGTTGTGGTGATGGTGTGCTCATCCCTTGAACCACTTGGCTTCCAACTATGATAGTATCTAGCAGTCTGCATTCTTGAGTCAGCCCTAGCTTCTTTTGATTCACCAGATTTTGACTTTGCTTTGCCCAAGAAATACCTGTTTTGCCATGCAACTCAGCTTCTGGACCACCACTTTTTTTAAAATGAAAAATCAGCTACTCTTTGTACCTCCGTTTGCAGGTATCATCAGATCCCTTTAATCAGCTGGTCCAAGCACAGATGACATCCACATAGCTTTTTTTCATGGTTGCAATCCTCTGTGTGTTCAGTATGAGCTAAAGTCATGTGATGTTCAATGCGACTCATTATATTTGTAAATAAATATAAGGTTGAAACCTATTGGGAGGAGGGCACTGTTCTTTGCATTCAAGAAGATACAGTGGCAGGTTACATAGATTTTGTAAACAAAGAACAAGGTTTTTTTTTCTTCTTTTCAGAGAAAACAAGCATCGTGTCAATGCCTTATTATCCATGCAGCTGCTCATTAGATTCATATTATGTCTACTCTACAGGGCACCCCATCAGGGAACTGACGGTGGATGTGAGTCTAGCGATTAATGGGAAGAAAGTCCCAGTTTACTCCAAGAAAATTTGCGAACGGGATCACCCACAGTTTAGTTTCTGTGGGAAGAAGAAAGGAGGTAATTAATTTTTCATGCCTAATTTGCTGAACAGATAACAGGTGCAGTAAGCAAGGAAAGCAGATAGTACCAGTTGAATATACCAGGCTGGGTCAATCCTAATTATGCCATTTAGTTTACCAGTGGGGGGAAGACTTCTTTCCATTTCAAAGTACCTGTTTTGCATAAAGTGCTCCACTAGAATTCTCTTGCAAAGAAAGTCTGCTTACAAGTCAAGGGGGATAACAAGAACTGTGAGCTACTAGCTGGTAGCAGCTAAGCAAGTCTAGGAGATTAACTTCTTGCCTTGAGTTCCACGATGAATGGAGATAGTTTAGAAATATCCCAATAAATATATAAATATGAGTTCAAGGGGCAAGTCTTGCATAGTACCATCATTTGGGGGGCAGGGGGGCCTGATTTGGCCAATATTGCAAACAAAAAACCTCAAAAATATGACTGAACTCAAAGCTGTAGTTATGTAATGTGTAAAATATGTCACCTTGTATAGAAGTGGTGTTATTGATTTTATTAAAAGCAGAGGCAACCATATAGGCTATTAATTTGAAAAGCCATAGTTTGGCAATAGTTAACCAAAAAGTGGGACAAAAATATGTCCAAGCTTTTGAGATCTGTATATGGTCTCAGATCTAATGAATAGATCTAAAAAATTCAAAAGCTTGCATATATTCCTGTGCCTTTTTAATTGGCATAGGAAAAGTATTGATTTTGACACTGTGGTGTGATTTTTATTCTCACCAGCAACAAGCAATACATTTGCTCAGGTTGCAAAATTGTAATTGTTGCAGGAGGCAAATCTCAGTTGGCAAATCTCCAGTAGCAAGTGTCATTGATTAAAGTTTTCATTACATTAATTGATTAATAACCTAAGAACAGCAGAGTAAAGATGCTTAAGATCACCCCGTTCACCTTGTAACTTCACTTTAAATAATTTTGTATTTTGCATCCTGTGGAAATAATTCTTCAACATATATTTCAGTGGCTTGATGTTATGGATTTTGCTTGCAGATACAAACCAGGTCTGCCATCTTTTAATTTGATCTAAAATGACTTTAGATTGACTCTTCCGGGTAGATTTGATTTAAATCACAATTTAAATTTCAAAATGGAAATTATTTGATGATCTAAATTAAAAACATTTTTTACTTAAATCAATTTGATATATTTTTTAAAAAATCATTTATTTTTATCCACCCTGCTTTTTGTTTCAACTTTCGGTTAGTTATGCTTGTTTAATCTTACTTTTAACTTTACCACTGTTTACTTCTGCCTTAAGTTCCATGATTAGTTAAGATAAATATCCCAGGAGATAAATACACACATATTTATAAATATGAACATATTTGTTAGTTACCATTGTAACAACGCAAAAAGATACTTCCTGAAACGGTTGTGCTTGCTGGGAGGAAACAGGAACTGAGTGGCAGCACAGCCTACTATTTCAGGATTAGGAAAAAGAACCTTCTATAAGACAGAACTCTATTCAACTAAAAAAAGTTTGCTTGAAAGCAGAATTTCTGTGATTCTATAAGGGGACAATTCATCTACTAGGATAAACTCTGAGGAATTGCTATCCGTTTTGTTCTGTTCTGTTTTAGTACCTGGCACATAGAAGTCTGGACAAATACCAGATAAGCAAGCAATCATGAAAATTATGGAAGCCAGACTGATAGAAAATTAAATTCCAAGGCATCCACAGATATATCCTGAATCACTGTCTTCTTCTGATGAAGTGCTTAATAAGAATTTGCAGAAAGTGCATTACAGAGAATTCAGCTGATTGCAAGTGCAACAAAAGTGGCTGCTCACATAGTAAATAAGAAAGCCTAATCCATCTAGGTGCTTGCTGGCCCTTCATCTTAATAAGGCATAAAAATAATTTTCTCCAACTTAAGTATGAATAAAGCCAGAGCTGACTTCATTAGAAAAGATGATATATCTTTGTCCATAGGCAGTACTCTCAAAAGCCAATAAGTCCTTATTAGAGTGCCTTGAATAGTGATTTTCCTTCTGATGACATAGAACTGGAAGAGGGAGGGGAATAATAGAGGAATGCCTGAATTTTAATATTTTTGCTTATATTATTATTACTTATATATATAGGTATACATATATATTCATTCATACTGGTGCCTCACATGATACATTTCTTTGTTTATTCAATATTTCTGTGTCATTTGCTCATCCACGTGCTAACAATAATAGTTGGTACTAATGCATAAACTTTCTAGAAAATAAAAAATAGTCTCTAAAAGAGCATCTACAATGGCAGCAGGAAAAAAAACACATGTAAATAAAGAACAGGAAGTGGGAAAGTAGTAAGTATCATTAAACTAACAAACACTGGAACTTAAGGTTTCTACTGCAAGTGCCTGCAGGAAAAAGGGATGTTTCACCGAAAAAAGAGAGAGGCCTTTTGTATAGGCAACAACAAAAGAACAAAGCATACAGTACTTCCTTCAGGAGGGTATTCCACATGATGAGGGAGGTTGCTAACCTGCCAGACACAGGTGAGATGTGTGAGAAGGGATCTTCAGAAGATCTGAATACTGATGTGAAGCTCATAGGGGAGCAAATGGGCCTTCAAAACATTAGAGTCCATAATTTATTTATTGTGGAAATTTCCCCTCAGTACGTGTACAGTGAGTGGTGCCTCGCTTAGCAATCGCTCCGTTTAGTGACGAAATTGCTTAGAGACGCTGGTTTTGTGATCGCAAAAGCAATCGCTTTGCGATGTTCTCTATGGGGTATTTTTGCTTTGCGATGATCACAGGGAAGCGATCCTCGCAAAGCCCCCATTTCCGCACAGCTGATCGGCGGTTTCAAAATGGCCACCGGGGAAAAAACATGGCCGCCCACTGTGTTTAGGGACGGATTCCTCACTTTAGGCACTGAAAATGGCAGCACTATGAAGGATATTCGCTCAACGGTGAGTTTTAAGCCCATAGGAACGTATTGAAGGGGTTTCAATGCGTTTCTATGGGCTTTTTAATATCGCATAGCGACGTTTTCGTTCTGCAGCAATTTTTGCGGAACAAATTAACGTCGCTAAGCGAGGCACCACTGTATTTAGTACCTGGTGTCAAATGTGGAGGGGGGAGGGGACGCAGGGTAACTCCACTGCATGATGATGTACTTTCCCCGCTGCTCAGTAGTAGCAGTAATGCTCGTGGTAGTTAGTCTGGCTCTAGCAATGTGAGCAGCCTTACCAGATCTGAACAATAACCCATCTAAAAATACAACTACATGGTCATTTAACACAAAGATTTACTCCACTTACAAAACAGGTGAATCTGAAATATTTTTACTGACTGTATGACGCAAAGGCTGATTCAAATTATTCCAGCCCTTTTTTGTTCCCAAAGTGGATTTTTATCTCTGCATGGGGGCGCCGGCGGGGTGTCCACTTTTTCAAGCTAAAACAATTCAAATGAGCTTTCCCCCATGTGGTTAGTTGTGATATATTCTTGTAAGGGTGGGGGACATGTCTGTCGGTGGTGTTTCAATGACGTAGGGAGTTGAGGCGTGATTTTCAGGCCAAGGAGGACATACAAAAGCAAAACACCATGTTGGGGATTGAATGCTACTCCTGAATCCTGTCAAATACATTAAGGTTTGGATAGTGTGGGAAGGCCCTTTTTCGTGAACAGAAGCTTAATACTGTTAATGACTTAATTGGAAGGTCTGAAAGTGGATTATTTATTTATTTAACCTATGTGCCGCCCACTCTACCCAAAGGTCTCTGGGCAGCTTACAACAATTAAAATTTATCATGTCAATAGTTTAAAACCATAAGTGACCAGAGATGAGGTAATTCATGCATGAGTTACTAGAAAGTAATGAAAAAGAATAACTGATTTTAAGGGAAAGGTGATGATCCCTGTTATGGAATCATTTTGACATGCAGATTATAATGTAAAGTATTTTGCAAAATTACTCTTCAAACTTTTGATGTTCTGTACTCTCATATCATTCCATGTTATTTTTTTATAGAATTTCTTTTGAGAAATGTCAGTATTTTGCAAAATTACTCTTCAAAGTATTTTGCAAAATTACTCTCATACCATTCCATGTTTTTTTTATAGAATTTCTTTTGAGAAATGTAGTAGTATGAAGCTTTAAATGAGCAGCTTCACAGTGAAGATAAAAGAATCAGGAGAGGGGGGACCAGTGGAAGAAAGGAAAGAAAGGGGGTTGTGAGCTGGAAAGCAATTTGCATTCCAATGAAACCAGGTATAAGAGATCCAAAAGCAAAGTCCAATAGCAATTGACATTCAAAGTAGTCCAGCTGTGAGAAAAAACAAACAGAGAGAGTACAAGAAGCATAGTCAAGTAGCCAAGTCATACATAGCCAAGGAGTTAACAAGAAAGGTGGAGGATACACAGCACGCAGAATCTGGAGCAAGAAAATTTGTTGTCTGCAAGAAGTTCCCAGTCTCATCCTAAGGTTTATCCATTTGACCAGCTGGACACCCACACACACACACACCCATCCCACACAGAGCCAGATTTCAGCTGCAGAATTTGGCCTGCTGAAGGAAGGAAAACTTTCCTTCCTGAAGAGCTCCTATTGAGGATGCCTCTTCTCTCAAGGAATTCTGCAGCCAAGATCTTCCTCTGGATACATCTAGTCGGTCTTGTGCCTTTTTTATATCTGCTGTGTTCTCAGGGACTGGAAGATTGTCCAGTTTCCTCCTCCAACTCAGGTGCAGAGCTGCGTTCTTCAGGGTGTTCAGCCTTCTGAACCCGACAAAGGTCCAGATTCTGCAGGATCCAGCAGTTAGTTCAACATGCTAGGTTCAGGCAGGTTTCTGCTCATTCTCCCTGGACAGATCCTCCACCAGGGTCAACACACTCTGTGTGGAGGTTGATTTTCAAAATTGGATTGTTTGGTAATGCCACATATTGAAAATGGAACAGTTTGTTTCATTGTGCAAGCAAGCGAAAGAAAGCATATTAGGACTATCTGTACTGTAACAGGAAGACTGTTTTCCGGTGACAGCTTTCATTCTAGTTGGGGGTGTGGTTGTTTCTTTGTTTATTTTTGTCCACAGTAGGAGCTTTGTCCATTTAAGCCATGCATAAAATGCATGGAATATAATCGCTTGGCACTTTTTTCTTTTGCCACTTTGATCTCTCACTCAGCAGTGCATCTATTTGTTTTGCAGAATATGTCTACTACGAAGCACCTATTGACTTAGGAGTCCATGAAATCCCTCAGGTAAGTTATTTCAAAGTTGTTCTACAAGCAGCAAAGCCATAAGCCACAGGACTGTCATTATAACTGAATAACTGAACATAAGACATGCCAGAGAGGCTTATGGTTATCATTATGTTATCTAGTAACATGTACGACATTTAAAAAGCTAGGGAAAGTTTCTTTTTTGGACTGCAACCCTCCCGCTGTTCCACATATAAAAGCAGTGGCTGTTGAAGCCTACGTCTGAACGCAGGCTCAATAATGGGACACATTTCTGTCCTCCAAGAAAAAGCAATGCCTGGAGGAGGTGGAAGGAATGCCTGGGGAACTACTACTGTTCAACCGCAGCATCTGTTCCCTGTGAAAATTGCCTCACTCTGCCTAATGTTATGGTTGGCCCTAAGCCCATGTCATATGGATGCCTCCTCTCTGCTTATCATCAGTTTTGCACAACGCACTGTGTTTAGCTCTCTCAGCTTTGTATCCTTCATGCAAGGTGGGACACTTCCTACCTAACACAGCCCTATCAAGTCCTGTACCCCACTTGAGGATCTACTTATGTCCAGGTGTGTGTAAATAGCAGGAAAGACTACAGAGCTGCTTGCAACTAAGGGCAGCCCAAGATATTCTGCCACTTGACATGGAGCGGATGGCACAATTCTACTAATGACTTGGCAGTGCGCGATCCACTCGCCACTCTTTAACCTTGCAGCGAGGCTTGTCCTCCCGCCTCCTGCCAGGGGTGGCAAGCAGTGCTGCACAGCCATTGGCAGAATCATGCTGTCTGCGTCTGCGGCAGATCGGTGAGTGGATCGTGTGGCCCCGTGGGGCTGGACCCTCATTAATGCCACCTATACGAGGATATTTATATACGAATACATATATCTCCATCTCTGTTCATTACTCCACAAGAGTAACTGGTTACATGTATGTGAATTATATGTAACTTCCAAGATCTGCCAAAGCAAGGCCAGATCAGTTCTTTTGCCACATGATATGTACATAAGAACCAACAAGTGCTGTTCCATATGACTGGCAGTAAAAAATGCAATTGTTGCAAAGTAAATAACAAACAATTTGTTGTCATGAAACATAATCCAAAATCTGCCTGAAGCAGCTGCCTCAATATGCCTCATCGTAGGATCAGGCCATTTTTTATGTATACATTTTTGTGAATAAAGAAAAGCAGAATAATTGGCAAAGTAATATTCAGTCTTTTTCATCCAATAAGTTCTCCCTCCTTCATTCTTTTTTCCCATTTATCTTACCTTGAGTGACCAACTGTAAAAATCTTATGTATTTTTTTTGTTTCTTGATGTGCTATGTTCTTGCATTTCATGGATTTTATGATTTGCTCATCATCCACCATGATTCTCCTTCAATCACCCTCTCAATCTCAGAATTTCTTAGCATTCTGTGATAAATCCACATTTCAAAGGTGCTTTCTTTTGCAAAAAAAAACAAACCTTTATTAAAGTCCAAAATTCTGCAGTTCATGCCATACAGTAAAAGTGAAAATACATAGCACCATACAATGCAGAATTCTGAAAGCTAAGCCCATTTTGATAGTGAGTTGTAAAAGGAAATGGGGTTTCTCACTGCAAGCTTCTTCTGATCTAATATTTTGCTCTTGGTGTGTGTTTTTGTTTCTTTTGGCAGGGAGACTTTAACGTCACAGTAGAGATGTTTAATGAAGACCATCAAACTATTATCTGTGCTGATTTTACAGTCAGAAATCTTGAAGAGAGATTATTGTCTTAATTCTGTCATGAAGTTGTGTCTGAGAGCATTATGAGCTACACCATTTGTTTTTTGTTTGTTTGTTTTTAATCTCCCATCTGCAGTCTATTGGATGTAGTGCAGTGAAATAACAAGATATGTTGCTCTGTGAAATGCTTGCTTATAGTCTGTTACTTTTGAGGAGGCTGCAAGACCCTGTGTGTCACTCAATTTATTCCACCAGGTTCAGTGCAATATGTATTTCGCTTGACTTCCCATAATGCTCTGCTTTTATTAGACATTTTACTTAAACTCAAACTGAGAAGGGGTTAGGCTCATTAAGGGCAAATTAATTTTGTACATAAAACCTCTCCCAAGTTCATCTCCCCCGTTTATTAATTTCTCTCCAAAGCATTCATTTTCTTTCCTCCACCCCCACAAGGAAGCTTAATATTCTTTTCTTTTAATCAGGCATGCTAGTTCTCCATCAGTATTTGAGGCTTGCATGTGAGGCTGTGAACTTGGGTCCAGCAAAACTAGAGAGAAGTGGGATTTAAATACCAAACTATGGGAGTCCAAGACACTGCCAGACCACCCAACCACTCAATTTCTTCAGCCAAAAGTGAAGCTTGGACACGGGGGGGCGGGGGAGAGAACAACCAAAACAAAAGCCAAAATATTAATAGGCAGCTGCAGCCAGTTAACAGCTGTCTGCGTCCACCTCTTGGAATGTTTGTTTCATCCTATATGGTATTCTTCCTTCAAATTTAACCTATGTGATTTCTGTGGGACCAGGCATGGAGCACCATTTTGAAATTTGCGCCATCGCAAGAAGTTCACAACCCACTGAGCATGTAAAGGTAATCTGGACTACAACTCCCAGAATCCTCCATGTTGGCTGAGGGAGTCTGGGGGTTGTAGTCCAAAATATTTTCTGCATTCTTCAAATATTCTTGCGTCTCTTCCACTCTTCCCAAGCACTGCTCGCTCTTAACTTACTCAACACAGACTTGTCATTTTTTGAGGGAAGACTCAGTTTGAGTTGAACTGCTTTGGATGTTAAGTTTGCTAGAGTGATGAAAGTAAGGATCTAGCATCAAAAGATCACTCTACAGGTCAATGTTCTTTCCCACAGATAGAATTTTATCTTCTGAAGGAAGGGAGAAATATCAGAAGGTTGGGACAAAATGCAAGCAGCACCCAGGAGTGGAGTGCCTTGCCCAGGCCCTCCTCAGTCCTACCAGTGTATCTGGATACCTGACTGTGTGAATGAACTAATTATTGTGAGTGGCTGGAAATACCCATGTGTCACATTCCTAGAGGTTTTCAGAAGGCAAAAGTCCAACAATCCAATATCAGAAGTCCAGAAGAGACAAACAGATGCCAAACTGCCAAAGCCAAAAACACAAACCAGAGTCAGAAACCAGAGTCCAAAGCCAAGGGTCAAAAAAAGCAAGGTCCAAGATAAGCAGGAACGTGGATGCAAGCCAAAAGATTTACTTGTTGCTTCCACAAACCTCCAAGCCTTCTGGGTGCAGATTTTATGGCAGCAGCAATCATCTAATTCCTAGAAAAAACTTCATCCTGCTAAAACTCAGGACTGGTTGACCTGATGTTCCTGTGGGAAGCATCCATGCGAACCTCAGACCTTCATGTCATGAGTCTTTGCTGAAGCTTATCCCTCACCCTGGCTACTGGGGGAGGAGAATCGGGTGGTGAGTCAGCTGTCTACGATTCTGATTGCCCAGCATTTTCCTCAGCTGTAATTAACCCCTCAAATTCCAGATCTTCTTCAGCTGAACTCATGACACCATGGCAGATAACCAGGATAAACATTTTTACTGCAGGTTATCTGCAAACCAGAGCAAAATTGCTGCAAACACATGCCTGTCCTAATGTTGTGAAAAGAGCTGCTGGCTGCCCACCCCCCGTGCAAGAAGAATGCTAGCCAGTAAGTGCCAAACTAGCTGGGAAGCCTCCCAGCACTGCCCAATCAGCAACATTGTTTTTGCCTAGGAAGGGGAAGGGGTTTGCTTGAGGGGCTTCATTTTCACCACATGTGCAGTAGGTGAACATTCTGCTGTCCTTCTTTCTCTGTGGGTATCTGGATGAGGCCAGCCAAGGAGCCACATCTTGGCGGCAGCAATTGGGGTCTGCCCACAGGACAAGCAAGCCCCATGGAAAAGGAAGGGCTCTCTCACTTGACTGTTATGTCCCTCTGTTTCCTTTTCTCTTGCAGTCCGCAGTTGCTCCAGCCAAAATCCAGTACCCTAAGCATTACATGTGTTGCCAGCATGCTATTCTATGGCTGTCAGTCCTGATACTAATAAAATTACAGTATACACTGTTGCTCTTTGGTGTGTGTCTGCATGCATGAATCCTTGTCCTTGCAATGACGGTGAGGGCATTACAAAATTAACCTTCTTATTTGCAAAGAAGCTTTGCAAAGTGTTCCCAAAGGCATCTGGTGGAGCCACTGTAAGATACAGGAAGCTGGACTAGATGACCCCTTGGCCTGATCCAGCAGGGTTCTTCTTATGTTCATAGGTTCTTGTGTTCTTAATAGATCAATCCACCCCTTATGTTGTCTTTCTCTTTTCCTGCTGCTTTCCACCTTTCCCTGTATTACTGTCTTTTCCAGAGAATCCCATCTTCTCAATATGTGTCCAAGTAGGACAACCTGAGTTTCAATATTTTTGCTTCTAGAGATAGTTCAGACTTGATTTGATCTAAGACCCGTTTGTCTTTCTGGCAATCCAGAGTATCCACAAAGCTCTCCTCCAGCACCACATTTCAAATGAACCTTCCCCTTGCCCTAGTCAGCTTTCTTTATTGTCCAGCCTTCTCACCCATACAGTACATGGTGGCTAGAAATACAATAGTGTGGATGGTCTTGGTCTCAAGTAACATATTCTTATACTTGATTTTTTATATAAAAAATCCTTCATTGCTGCTCTTCTCAGCCTCAGTCTTCTTCTGATTTATTGGCTATAATTTCCATTTGGATGGATGACTGAAAAAATGGTCTAGTGACCCAGAAAGCCACGCTATCCTTAATGAAAAAGTTCCAGATGAGGTTTTTGTTTACGGGGTGGAAAGTTAGCACAATAAATGACAGGGCTTGTCCAATACATTTTGCTGTCTGAAGTGGAGAAACAGGTAGTGATCATTCAGGCCGATTCAGTTGTAGGTGCAGAATACTCAAGGCCTAACAGGTTATTCTGGCTACTAGAGGTTAAACTAGATCAAACTAGACGTATTTCACAGAAGTGTGCCCTCAAGCTATGAGGACAGAAAGTCTTGTCATACCTTATAAGGCAGTGATTATTCACTACAGATTTTTTGTGGGCTGCATAAAGCTCATTGCATATAAAACTTGTTATCTTTTAAGGTGTCGCAGGACTCTTGGTTTATCTAACAGAGATAGATATCCGCACGGAGACTTTTGGTTTGAGCGGCATATAAGTTAAACAAGCAAGCAAGCAAGCAAGCAAGCAAGCAAGCAAGCAAGCAAGCAAGCAAGCAAACTAACAAGCAAGCAAGCAAGCAAGCAAGCAAGCAAGCAAAATAAATAAATATGCTTGCTGCTACCTCCTGGAAACTCCCTAAAGATAAATATGTATATAGTCAAAGAAATCTTATGAACCCAAATTATGCTGCCTGGAGTCCTGATGAAGATAACAATGCAATCATAAATGAAGACTGGATGTAAGCTCATGTGAGGCAAAATCACGGCAGGAGCAGGAGGGCTATCAGCAGTCATAAGTGAGTTAATTCCCATTTCCCTTGCTTTGTAGTCACGACCTAAGCATCCCTCCCTCCTGCTTGCCTTCTTACTGTACTTAAAAATGCCCCCCTGCCTGCTACCTTCCCACCTATCTCAGCAAACATGGGAGTGTGAATACATGCTTGCCAGGGTAACATGTAGTTCCATCCCAATTTAGTCTCACTTAACACTGACTGCATCTGCCTGACTAAAATAGCCCTACAAAAAGAGAAATGCAGCTACACCTAGCAGCTTAACAGATCCTTAATGTAAGAACATCCTCTGGTGACACACAGCTCCAGAGAGCGGGGGAAATGGGTTTACAGAAACAAAGGTCTGTGATCTTTCACTTCAGACTGTTCTCGGAATCAAGAGATGGAAAGAGAGGAGTTACGTATGGCGTGGATGCTTTGCTCAAAAGCTTTCCTGGAGGATCTGGGTGGATTAGAAAGAACTCTGACATTTTTTTCCTGAAGTGTAACTTTAGCTGTGTTCAGAGGGAACCCTTGAAAGAAGTAGAAGAAAGTGTTTTTATTTTTAACACCCTTGTGTGTTGGAATGATCATTGGGTACTAAAGTCTGGTCTTTTGGCTGTTATATGCCATTCATTTTACTTTTGTAGAAACAGTAGTAGAGCAATTTTCCAATAAACATTTTAATCTGCAGTGGCCACAGCCTTTAACATAAACAGTGCAATGGGGAATTAGAACAAAGAAAACTAAGCCTTTTCATAGGGGTGGTAGATTAAAACCTGTTTTCAGCCGTAACCAACCAGATACAACTGGCAGAAATCTTGTATTCTGTTTCTCTCATTAATTTTCTGGGGAAGAATATCAAGTTCTTGTTTTGATTGCTGTCCTAATAGATGGATCTGCAATTACTGATTCACTGGTTATGAGCAGTCTCTAAAGGAGGGAACTGAGCAAACAGACAGCAGGTAGATGCATGTGTTTTAGCCTATGGTGCTTTATGCAAGTGAAAGAGGAAGCAGAACAGAACAGCAGCACACAACTCATCAGACTTTCTGTTTGATCCTTGTTATGTGCACACATATTATTTCCAAACTGCCACACAAGTTCCTTCCCTGATAATATCATAAGAACCAAGCTCCTGGTCTCAGGTTTTGACCTTGAAATTTCAGGGAATTGGAAGCCTGGCAACCCCACTTGCAATGCTGAGTTAAGGGCAAATTGCAGTTTAGGCAAACTACAGTTTGCCCACTTTGAATGTAACAGCAAACTGTGGTTTGCCACTGACGTGGGATAAGACAATCAGTGAGCTGTAAGTGGAAATAGAAGACAGACAGCAATTTTGCAAACACAGGGCTGACTCTCATAGGTTTCGTATTAAATCTGAAGCACTGCTTTTGCTCTCAGGGTGACTTTCAACTAGGCTGAGAGAAGCCTGG